TACACAGCAAGGTGTGGACACAAAAGAGAGATATTTTTAGTGCTGTTTTCACAGGCAAGACAGAAGGAGCCTATTTGGTGGAAAGAATGCTGAACCTGGGATGAGGAGACCTGGATTCTGTTGATTTCCATTACTGTTACTAGGACTAAGCCTATGTTGAATATGCAGAAGTACCCAGAGCACAAAATTAGATATGACCTTGTTCGGGGGCCTCGTGATCTGACCAGCCGCCCACACTGCCAAGGACACCAGACCTGAAGACTGCAGGTCTGCCTTGCCCTCAACTGGCCCACCCCGCCCTTGGAGCTCCCTACTACTGGGTAGGGATGAGGGTTCATGAAGCCAGCCATGCATTTGTAGGCTGGACTCTTCCTGGGACAGAGGGAAGCCAGCAGCCTTGATCTTTGACCTGACTGTTCCTGGTCCCAGTGTGAGCTCCACAGCCCCCACCTCTGTCAAGAGCAGGTCTGGAAGGAGCACAGGAGCATTCCAGAAAGCGGAGCCTACCCTGTTTGATTTCCTTGAGATACCCCATGGTGAGTCTGGGGAAAGAGAGGCCCCAACTGGTTTGGATATGGGGTTTCAGAAAAAGAAGGAAAAGAGTGACATGGAAACGACATGTGTTCAGGCCACAGGTGAGCTTAAGGACCCTGGGCAGAGAGGAGTGAGTTTGAGGGATGGGTTTAGCCCACTTATGTCATTTGGTGCCAGGGACTCCCTGCCCTCATGTTGCATCCACACTCTTCCATTCTGGGTCAGCTGGGCAGGCCACCCACGGGCTCTCTTCTTCCCTGCATGTCCCAGGATGGAGCTGCCAACACCAGGCTCCCATATTTCTGGGGTTTATTCTTCAGGATTGGTTTGGAGATGGGACAGAGGTTTTCACTTTTTCACCTTTCTGATATTTCGGGGGGAAAAAGCACATAGCATCCTTCCTGTAGGAGAATAAAATAACAGGCTTGAGAGATCTAAGAGAGCTTCCCTCATGGCTCAAATGGTAAAGAGTCTGCCTGCAATGCAGGAGACCTAGCTTCAATCCCTTGGTCGGGATCTCCTGGAGAAGGGACTGGCTACCCACTCCAGTATTCTTGCCTGGAGAATTCCACGGACAGAGAAGCCTGGTGGGCTACAGTCCATGGGATCACAAAGAGGTTGGACACGACTGAGCAACTGACACTTCACTTGAGAGATCTGAAAGTAGGACTAAGTGTTCTCCAGCTTTCTATAATCATATTGGCATTTGGAGGAACATTCTTAACTTTTTGAGATAATTGCCAAAAAGGCAATAGTCATTGCCTTCCTGCTGCCCGCTGGCACCCCACCAGATGCACGGTCCAGGCTGGCAGGACCAACGGACAGGACACCTCTTCTGACAGCTCTTAAACATGTGACTAAACACTGACATCAGTGATGAGCAGGCTTCCTGCTGCCCTTGACCATCCTCCTGCCCACTGCATGTCATCACTGACCACAAGCCTCAGCCAGTGTGGAAGGCATGTAACCCCATCCGCATGGACTTGATTTTGTGGAGGTGGAAGTGCTGTGTCCCACTGGGATTCCTGGAGCTCAGAGTCTGGAGTAGAGGGGAGGCAGCTACCCACCAGCATCCCAGTGTGGCCACAGCCCAGGTTCCAGTCCAGCCATCACCGTCCACACTCCCAACACTTGAGTGGCTCACACACATGGTAGGCACCACACTACAGAGCTCCAAGTTGCAATGACCTCCAGGTCTGCCTTCCCAACCTTCTTCTTTAATTTCCCAGTTGTAAAACTGGAAGAACAAGTGATAATCATTCCGGAGAACTTTCACTTTGGCGGTGAATGTGCCCAGCTGAGCTTCTGGAGGTCAGCTCTTCCTTTGTCCCAGGTTCTAACAGCTCGGCTCACAGTTGACCTGGTACTGTAGCTTGCTGTCTGCCCACCATGGAGCAGCAACCCACGGGCAGAAAATCCTTTCACTGCTTGGAAAATAAGCCACCATTACTCACTCACTTACTCTTTCTCCTCTTTCATCTATTCATCTATTTCACTCTTTTCACTTATGTATTATTCATGTAATAAATCCTCATCAGGTACTTACTGTGTCCCAGGTGCTGGGTTAGCCCTGCTGGTGGGCATCTGGCGGCATCAGTTTTGTACTCCCAAGGACAAGCCTTCATCCCTTGGCTGTCCTGGGCGGGGGAGGATGGCCACACTCTGCCCTACATTTTTTCCAGTTGAGGGCAGAGAGGCAGACTGACTTTGATTTGCTTACATAATTGCTGGACACAATTCAGAGCCAGGGCTGCCGCAGAGGGCCACACAGGCTGCGCACTGCACAACTTCAGGGCAGTTGTATAGTGAGGAATTCTGCATCCGGCTCCAGGATTAAGTCACCAGCTGTCACTGCTCAGTCCCCCAGGTGGTTTGGTTTGTTCACATCCCCCTGAGAGGTGCTACAGAGCCATCGGCAAGGGAGCCAGTGCACCCCAGCAAGCTGGCCTTTGGTGGGTACCTTCCCCACGTAATCCTGGCCAGCCCCACGGCCTCTTCAGTGAAGCGCAGTCCTCCTCCCTCGGGCCTGGCCAGGGGACTTAGTGTCCAGAGCTGGGCCCCTGTTCCCCCTCTGGCTCCCATGTGGGGCATGCAGAGCACTGCCTGCCTTCCAGGCCCCCACCCATGTGTTCTCCTCTGACTTAATGGCCTGGCACCGTTCACAAGGCAAGAGGGGAGACCCATGAGGCTTTATCATTCAGGGCCAATTATCTTTGTGCAACTGGGACAACGTGTGCCCCTGCCTTATCCTTGGCCCAGGCTGGTCCTGTCTGACTCTTTGCGACCCCATGGACTGCAGCACACCACTGCAACCACTCAAAAAACATGCAGGTAAAAAGCATGCATCCACAGGGCTGGTGCACTGGGAAGACCCAGAGGGATGGGATGGGGAGGGAGGCAGGAGAGGTGATCGGGATGGGGAACACATGTAAATCCATGGCTGAGTCATGTCAATGTATGGCAAAAACCACTACAATACTGTCAAGTAATTAGCCTCCAACTAATAAAAAGAAATGAAAAAAAAAAGACTTAAAAAAAAACATGCACCCATACCTACCTGCATAAAATCTAAAACAAAAAAACCCACAACAGACAACATGACAACAAGCTAACAAAATGCTGCGGACCAGGTGCCCTGGTGGGGCATCTCCCCTTTTGTATACCACCCCACCTGCCCTGAGACCCTCACCACCATGATTGAGTCCAGCCGTGCCATCAACAGCACTAAGTGACGGGTGGTCCCCAGAGACCTCTGGAGGCTCCTCTGCTCCAGTGAACCCACATGGCATCCTCATGTTTTCATTTTTGGGACAGCCCATTGCTACCAGAAGCTCTAAACCAGGCAGCAGACAAGCCCGGGAGCTAGAGGCACGGACGTGGCTGTTAGGAACATCTCTGTTCCTGCTGAAGGCAGGCAGCTCCCTTCCTGGGCCTGATTCTCATCTGTAGCACTGGCCACACCCACAAGGCAGGAAGGAATCAGTCATGGTCCCTCAGCCTGGACCGGAGGGAACAGAGGAGGGAGGCCGAAATGTGTGTCTGCGGAGCCAGAGTAAAAAATCCAAGGCAGGGTTAGACCAGGACTGTGGGTAATTCACGCCAGCCCCCTCTCGCGCGCCACAAAACCCCAGTGCTCTCACCCGTTTCAGAATCTCAGCATCTGTGAGGTGCCGAGTGGGGTCATGGCTGCTTGGAAACCAGATCCCTGGCTTCCTGACAGGCACATATGTTGTATTTGAATTGAAAAGGCCATTTTCCTTTCTGGTGTGTGCGTGTGTGCGTGTGTGGATGTGGATGCATTCGTGCACGAGAGCTGGCGTGTGTCTGGCGTGCACCTGGGTCTCCATGTGCTAACTTTTCAGGACAGGAATGTGCATGTCCCCATCTCCTTTTGATTTGTACATGTGTGGTGGTGAGGGTTTGGGGGATGAGAAACAGTCTCCTGTTCCCTCATGTGGGATCCATTAGCGAACCCATGTGTTGTAGGTGTCTGGGACCCATGAGGATAAGGTGGGAGGTAAGCGTACACTTATGGCATCAGATAAAATTAGGTGTCGGATAGATCACCAAGATGCTGTTCGCCACATCGACTTCGTGGCTATTCTTGGGCATGAGGATAGGTTTTGCTGGCCCCTCCATGTACTTTTACTCAATCTCTCTGCCAAGACTGGCCCACCTGCTGGCTTTTGGGTCCAAGTTGCACCCCTGGAATAGAAAGAGGGTGCCCAGTGATGGAATTTGCAGTCTTGGTCTCATTTGCTCCAAGACCTCACAGTGAAGCAAAGAGTACGGGACAGAGGTGATGCCACCTTACATTTGCTTAGTATGTTCTTAAGTGTCTTCACTTGCCTTTTTTTTAATACTCACTTTTGGTTGTGCTGGGTCTTCGTTGTTGTGTGGGCTTTCTCTAGTTGCAGGGCAGAGGTTTCTCATTGCAGTGACTTCTCCTGTTGCCAAGCACAGGCTCTAGGATTTGTTGTGGCATGTGGGCTCAGAATTTGCAGTTTCTGGACTCTAGGGCACAGGCTCAGTAGTTGTGGTGTACTGGGCTTAACTCTTCCACAGCAGGGTGAGATCTTCCCACATCAGGGGTCAAACCCCTGTCTTCTGCTTTGGCAGGATGATTCTTTACCATTGAGCCACCAGGGAAGCCCCCTGCCTTCTTCATTCACTTAATAAGCATTGACTTCTTGCTGATGTGGCCACCCACCAGGAACAAGTGGGCAGTGGAGGTGACGTTATTCCTGTGTCTGTCACGTAGTTTGTTACGATGAGAACCAGACCTGGGAATCAGGGTTCCCCTGTGCTGAGAGCTTCTGCGCCCCTCCTCTGGGAGCGTCTGCGAGCACCTGTCTGTCTTCGGATGCACCCTAAGGTGATGCCGTGCACTTGCCTGCACAGGGGTCCTCAAGATCCCATGGGAGGGGTCCAAGGACCTGTCTGAGATGGAACTGCTCCTCCTACAGAGTGGCGACAAGGAAGTGGGGCGAGGATGATCCTGCAGGATGAAGACATCACCACCAAGATCGAGAATGACTGGAAGAGACTCAACACCCTGGCACATTACCAGGTATGAGGACCATGAACGGGGAGGGGCTAGCAAGCTAGGCAGCCAGGCCCCTGTGAGTCTCCATCCGTGAATAGCAGGGTCCTCCTGAGGCTCTTACCAAGCCCTAAACCCACTTCTTCACCAGCACTATGTATGCTCTTAGCAAGCCAGGGAAAACGTGGCCCCCCAGGACACCCTGACCTTCTTGGAGATAGCATGCTGGGTGTGTGTTTCCTGCAGGGCATGGGCACAGACCCTGAGCAAAACCCTTTCTTAGGTAAGCCCTGGAGTTTAAGGCTGGGTGCTCTTCCAGGGAAGCATAAGGACAGAGGGTGCTGGTGAGAGGGTCTTGCCTGAGTCACTCCAAGAGTGAGCCCCACCATGGACTACAATTCTATATTCAGATCTGTCCTATTTCATCAAAGGAAAACTGACAGCCTCCTCCATCCCCTGGTTCTTGGTGAGGCCCTGATTGTCCCCAAGGACTACGTTCATCCTGACTGGGTGACAGAGCTTCTGTGCCCAGGCCCTTACCTGCCTTTCCCCGGTAGGTGCCAGATGGTTCTGTGGTAGCCTTAGTGTCCAAGCAAGTGACAGCGTACAATGCGGTGAACAACTCCACTGTCTCCAGGACCTCAGCGAGTAAATACGGTGAGTTCATCAAACCTTTCTGGGGAAGAAAGGATACCCCCTGAGCAGGTGTGGTCACCATGGCAGCACTGTTGGAAGACAGTGGGTGCCAGGGATGTGGAGCAGGGAGGGATGAGGGAGTCAGGCAGGCTGGCCCCCGGAAAGTAACACTGGACCCAAAAAAAAGCTCCTGGTTCTGGGCAGGGACTCTGATGCAGGAGCAGGAGCTTCATCCCTGGAAACAAGAAGAAAGTCTAACCTTCCTGAGCATCCTATAGTCTCTAAGATGCTTCCACGTTTGTGATAACTCATTATCAAACATCAGGTTCATAATAATCAGTGAATTAAATAATTATTATTTCCCCCTATTATGCAGATTAGCAAATTATAACTCCAATGCACAGAGGCTAAATGACGTGTAAAGGTCACACACTATGAAGCAGTGGAGGGAAAGTACAGACCCAGGTCTCTGCTCCTCAGGGTGGGGAGAAAGGCGTCAGATGTAGGCTGGATGCCCTGGTGCCTTCTTACCAGCAAAACTGGCTGAAAAACCTACCAGCTTCATGAGATGGTTCTGGGAAATAAATAGAAGACAACACACAATGGTGCCCAGACACAGAGGGACCTACCTCTTCTTTTTTTTTTTTTTTAATTAGTTGGAGGCTAATTACTTTACAATATTGTAGTGGTTTTTGTCATACATTGACATGAATCAGCCATGGATATACATGTNGGCTAATTACTTTACAATATTGTAGTGGTTTTTGTCATACATTGACATGAATCAGCCATGGATATACATGTATTCCCCATCCCGATCCCCCCTCCCACCTCCCTCTCCACCCAATCCCTCTGAGTCTTCCCAGTGCACCAGGACCTACCTCTTCTTTTCCTGCTTGGGACTCATCTCACCATACCTCACATTGCAGCAAATAAATGGTCTAAGCGAGAGAGGCAGGTGAAGGTACACAAGTGACAGGGCAGTCACTCAGCTGGTTAGTCACCGATTAAGGGAAACAGGCTCCCAGCTCTTTCATGAGTGCGTGCTAAGTCGCTTCAGTCATGTCTGACTCTTCACGACCCTATGGACTGTAACTGGCCAGGCTCCTCTGTCCATGGGATTCTCCAGGTAAGAATACTGGAGTGTTGCTATACCCTCCTCCAGGGAATCTTCTTGATCCATCCAGGGATATAACCTGCATCTCCAGCATTGGCAGGTGGGTTCTTTACTACTGACGCCACAGGGGAAGGCCCCCCACCCCCAGCGCCCAAGCTCTTTCATTGCTACTTAATTGGTGACACAGAACACATCCTGAGACTTGAGAGCTCTTACAAGGAAAATACAAAAAAAGACAAGCTTGTATTTTTTACAAATTGAATCATAAGGGCTAGAGAGATGCAAGTACAAGAGGGAAGGGAATCTGATTGGGTGGACAAGCCACAGAGAATTTCCTGGAGGCGGTGGGAAAGATGTTCCAGTTTCAGGAACGTACAGAAGCGCCTCCAAGGGTGAGTAGATCAGAGTTGGCCTCAGCTGGAGCCGAGCTGTGCCATAAGCAATAGGCTGGAAGGCTGGGTGGCCTTACCCCCATGGGGTCCTTGCATTGGCAGAAAATATGATCCGGTACACGGGCAGCCCCGACAGCCTCCGTTCGCGCACACCAATGATCACCCCCGACCTGGAGAGTGGAGTCAAGATGTGGCACCTGGTGAAGAACCATGAGCACGGGGACCAGAAGGAGGGGGACCGGGGGAGCAAGATGGTGTCTGAAATCTATCTGACACGACTGCTGGCCACTAAGGTACAGGACATCAGCCAGGGTGCAGGGCATGGGTGGGTTATGGGGTGGGGCGTCATCACCCCACAGAAATGTCAGAGCTGGCAAATACCTAGCATCTGTGCTGGTGCCCGCCACCACCACCTAGTCATCCATCCATGCAGACCCTGCTCATCAGCCTGATCTTCCCAGCACAGAACCTCAGCATCCTTCTCAACCAAGTCCTGCAGCCAGCCCCTCCCATACATCCAGGCTGGCACACAGTCTGAAGTCTTGATTCCATCCCTTCGCTTGCCCTTGCTCAAATAGAGAGACTCTAGCCATGTGTATTCGTGGTCCTCTGCCATGCCTTCTGGAAGACTGGCTATATATCTCTGGGGTGTCATATACAGTCTCTAGTGGTGGAAATTGGGGCCCCATCAGTGACTTTGCAGGCCCCATTTCTAATCCTGATTCTGGGGACCCTGTGTGCCTACAGTTAGTCCCTGAAGGCCCGAGACTGGCCCCAGCTCCGCTCTCTGTGAAGCCAAATGAGTAAACTGTTCATTAGCTGACGTGAATAATGCCCAAACAGAACCAGCAGATTGTGCTTGTCTGCTCTGACCGAGTGAGTTGTTCATTAGCATTTGTGAAAAGTGCTAAAATAACACCGCCGAAGGGTGTTAAAACCAAATCGCAGTGTTGGCAGAGGGAGGTTTCCTTAGGTCCAGTCATCAGTATTATATCTATTTTCCACGTGCCGGGGAAATGGAAAGCTGCTCCGAGACAGATGAGAGCAGGCAGGAGGAGGGTGCAGATTCTTTGCACGCGCTTATGCGATTTTACCCAAGCAGGCCTGGCTGTGTGCTGGCCTCCCCTCCCCTCCGCCATCTGGGAGGCCAGGCGATCGTACAGCCCTGTCCTCAGAGTTCTCAGGGCGGGCGAGCTGCGTCTGAACTTGGTCCCCTCCGCAGGGCACGCTGCAGAAGTTCGTGGACGACCTGTTCGAGACCATCTTCAGCACGGCGCACCGCGGGTCGGCCCTGCCCCTGGCCATCAAGTACATGTTCGACTTTCTGGACGAGCAGGCGGACAAGCACGGCATCCACGACCCGCACGTCCGCCACACCTGGAAGAGCAACTGGTGAGTGAAGGACGAGTGGAGGCTGGACGAGGAGAGGCCAGCCCGGAGTCGCTGGTCGGCCTGGGAGACCCTCAATTAGGGGCTGGCCCACCCTCCCCCGCGGCAGCTCTGCGCAGGCGCTCTCTGGGGCTCCGCCTCCTTCCGGTCCTTTTGGGTGTTCACTTCCTCTCTCCCTTCCCTCACTGGAGTCGTCCATCTTGGCCATCGGTCCAGTCAGTCAACAAACATTCAACCAACTAAATGAGCAAACTTGAGCATGCCAGATGTCACAGCCAGGTCACTCTCACATCCTCGTCCTTTCCCTCTGCCTGACATCATGCTGGACCCAGAGTCTGCAAACACTATCGGGACGTGGCTTCTGCCCTCTGTGGGCTGACAGGAGGGCAGCTGTTTGGATAGAGGGGCACATGTGAGGATGTGGGGTATGTGTGTGCAGCCGGGCTGTAGACAGGCAGCAGCTTACAGAGACTCTTAAATGGAGCTTGGAGCACAGCTCGGAGTCACCTAGGTGAACATGGGAGTGTTTCCAGGCCACTCAAGACATGGTTTTCCCTTTCCGGAATTCCCTTGGGGGAAGGAACCGCCCCATAACTAGGGTGTCTTTGAGACGAGGGGAGTCTCTAACTCTTAAATGACACTCTAGGTGTCTCATCACGGTCCCCTCTCTCCTTTAGCCTTTATCCGCCTTTCCCTTCGTTCGTGTGTCGGTTGTGTTTCAGTGTGAGACTGCAAGGTCAGACATCAGTATGCAGCTCTCGTGGCAGAATCTTGCACAGAGCTGGGACTCAATAAATATTGATGGAGATGCAGAGGCGAGATGGTCTTTACTTGAGAGTTCCACCTGGGGTAGAGCCATCTTATATTTAGTCCCTTCAGTTCCGGAATCGCTTCCTGGTAGCCTTTACACAGTCCCTGTCCTGGGGTGTTCTTCCCCAGCACATTCTTTCAAAGCAGCACCTGCCGACTGCCAGGATTGACATGGTACTAGGGCTCAGCCAGGCACCCTGATAGCCCAGGGTCCCAAACCAAAACCCGGATCTAGGCAGAAGTCAGCCTGGGGCACTGAAATGTTACTCAGGGTAGGATGCTCTGGCTTCCTCTCTCTTTCCCCTGAAGAATAGTGCATCTCCACTAAAGTTGGAAAGTCAGGCAGGAACAGTTTTGGACCATAAAACTGAAGAGTAGGGTTGCTCCCACAGTAATTCTGGGTACATCATGGAGTTCTTGTGACCTTTTGGAAATAAGACACTTAGACTCTGGACCCCATCTGGTCCAGCACTGGGTGAAGGCTGCTCCCTCTTCTGAAAGGTCTGCAGGTCTGGCCTCTCCCAGTGCCTGCCCATAGGTAAGATTGCATTTGAGGACTTGCCTGGTGGTCCACTGGTTAAGACTCTGCACTCCCATTGCAGGGGGCATGGGTTTGATCCTAAGTCCGGGAACTAAGATCCTACATTCCGCATGGCATGGCCAAAAAAAAAAAAGGATTGCATTTGACTCTGCCCACATTTTCAGCATGACTCTGCAGAGCTATTCCAAGGACATGTCCCCAACCCACCCAGTCTGTTTCTCTCTGCCACGGAGTCTTCCTTCTTACCACCTGAGTTGTGCCTGCAGCCTTCAAAATACAAGGAATGCCCTGTCCAGACCTTATCCTGGGAGGGCTGCTATTTCCAAACCATGCCCTTGTAACCTTTACAAGTACATCCCCTGAAATGGTATCTGAACCAGCATACACCTCCCACTGGGCTAAGTCCACCTCCAAGATCCAATAAAGTCCTTGGGGGAGAGAGAAGAATCTTCCTTCCCTCCAGCTCTTCCAAGTGCCAGCTGTTCTCAGAAAGAGCGCCAGTCCCAGTGAAGGCAGTCAGGCGGGAGTACCAACTCTCAGGTCCTCTCACCAGAAAACACATTTCCCCAACCCTGACCATGGCCACCTGGGCAAGACTCAAATCAGTCCAGGAATTATGAGATCTACATACTGACTTGGGGTCCATTGCTCCTGCTTGGAAGGAGACTGTTTCCTTATTCCTGGCCAAAATTGTAGCTCACCCTCTCCCCTGCCCCCTTCCTCCTCATCCCCCTGCCTTTTCTCTTTTAAATAAACCTCCTGCTCATTTAGCCTGAGTGGCTGCAATCAACCAGAGATTAGTGCCACCACTAATGTTAATAATATGCTAATATTTCATTAGGCAGGAGCTGCTGTGGTTTCCCTGTTTGATTTGCCTGTCAGCACAACTGGCTGAAGGAAGGAGAATGTAGGAAAAAACAGCCATGTGGCAAATGTGGACTCCAGGGTCCCTCTCTGGGTTGGACTTCGGGAAGTAGGAAGATGTGACTGGAGATGTCATCCTTTGGGCAGCCCTGCATCCAGGGCTCTGAGCCCAGATCTCAGAGTCTCCCCTGGGCAGCTACAGTGACCCTGACTTTGCCCCGAGTGTCAGAACTTTTACTGTCCCTTTATTTGCTCTTTGAATTTCCCAGGATGAAACAAGGGCCACTTAACATTGTTAGACCTCAGTGCTGGCTGCACAGCACACTTCGTAGGAACTTAATAAATACTTGTTGACTGATTGGCAGTCTTGAACATGAGGTCTTACTGTATTTTAGCATTTGTTGTCTGTATATGCTGGCTGCTGGGAGATACAACGAATATAGAAATCTTGTTCTTGCTGGGTTGAAATAATGTAATTCAAAAGACTTTTAGTTCTAAGAAGCAAGCCAAACACATAGGAACATTATGACTGTTACCAACTATTACCAACCGTGAGAACAACCACCAAAGCAACAATAAAACATCAGGGCACATGGCAAGAGGTGAGGAGGTGGGGGCAGAAGGAGGGAAATAAGTGATCCCTTGCTGGGTGCCATCCCACTTCCTGACCTACGTCTCCATAGGTTGGATGGCAGTTACAGGATCAGAGAGCCAGCGGAATACAGTCACAGAGGGGCATGTGGGCAGGCTTTACTCAATGCTCCAGGATCCTTTTTAGCACTAGCTCGAGGGTTTATGGTTCCCAGACCTCACTGCACATTTCATGTCCTGTTTGTCTTTGTTGAACTGATTCCCCTTTGGAGGTACCTTCCTCCTCCTTTTCCTCCCCCTCTTCCTCTAGGCTTCATTCAGCTAAAGAACACCTCTGTATCTTTAAAACAGAGACAGTTCAGCACGGTCCTGTCTGTGAAGACTTTCCAGATTTCCAGACACATCCCTCTGGGTAGCTTTGGTCACACCAACCTGGGTCTTAAACTGGACCCCCTCCATCCTCTGGGTCCAGCACCTAAAATTCTTGATTGCTTGCCTGACCTCCCTATGAGCCCACCAGAATGCAGGCTTCTCAAGGACTGGGGATGGGTCTTATTCACACTGTACCCACAGTTGCTAGCATGGCTCTTGGTGTACAGTAGGTGCTGACTGGAAGACAGGGAGAGGAAGGAGAGGGCATAATGGAGCAGGTGAGAGCCAGAAGTGGGGTTTGTTCAGCTTGCCAGCTTGGAGATGAGAATCAGTAAGTTTTGCTTGAACTGTTCAGTGCCAGGGCCCTCACCGTGTAAAAACAAGCTGATTGGGTCAGGCGGGGAGGAAGACTGTGGCTTCTTCCACATGTTACAGTGAGGGCAGAGAATAATAAACAGCCTAGGTTCCAGGCTATTTAAGATTTGCCAACCAGTTATGTTTTGAATCTGACATGGGGGCAGACGCTGGAAGAGAGAGTTAGACATTCTACTTTCTAGCACCTGTCATGACTGCCTCAAACCCCAAAGCCTTGTGCTCTCAAGGCAGCTGGGGAGTCCTACAGTCTGGGCTTGGCATTGAGGCCTCCAGTGCCCATCAATGCTGTATCTCTGAATGGACTGTTCAGCCCTGCTGATCTTCAGCTCCCCGGAAGGAGGATTGATGGCATGGAGAAGGGCTCTTCAGAAGGCTTGCTTCCCAGTCTTTTCTCTTCCTCCAGGGACCTCTCTGGGTCAGTGTCCAGCTCCCCTACCCCATCTCCCTTGACCATCTGCCTCTTCCCTCTACACAGCCTGCCCCTGCGGTTTTGGGTCAACATGATCAAGAACCCCCAGTTCGTGTTTGACATCCACAAGAACAGCATCACCGACGCCTGCCTCTCCGTGGTGGCCCAGACCTTCATGGACTCGTGCTCCACATCGGAGCACCGGCTGGGCAAGGACTCCCCCTCCAACAAGCTGCTCTATGCCAAGGACATCCCAAGCTACAAGAACTGGGTGGAGAGGTGAGTGCTGGCCCAGGGAGCTCAGGCAGGACCCTGGCTGCAGCAGGCACCTTCTCTGGGGGTATGCAGGGGGGCCCCCTTCCCCTCCGCAGTGGGTGGGGCTTGCAGACTGGTCCTTGCACAAAGCCCCATCCTGCATTGGGACACCCACAGCTCGAGAATCCAGTGCTGTCAGTCAAAACAAGAGTGGGACATGGCTAGAAGTTGCCACGGTGCTCTGCTCCCGTGCGTGGAGGACCCAGATCTTCCTAGGCCCAAGGGAGAAGTATAGTCCCCTGCTCTAATGCTCACCAAAAAAAGAAAAACAAAAAAGGCTTCCAGGGACCGAATAACATCTTGCCACAGACAGGCTGGAGCCCTGTCCATCTGGCATTTCTTCCAGTGTCCTGTGGGGATGTCATGGTCACCCTGAAGAGCTTCTTGCTGTTCCAGTCCCTTGATGCTCAGGCAATGAGCTCTAGATGCTTCAGGCCCTGATCTAATGCTTCAGCTGTGTACCTGTGTGTGTGGCGGGGAGGGCACCTGTATGCCATTAAGCTGGGTTCCTCTTGGCACAGAGCTAACTCTCGGTAAACAACATTCATGGTTTGTCTGAGTCGCATCAGCTCCACATACCAAGCACCTGAGCTAGACAACCAGCTGAAAGTCTGTCTATTTATTCATCACAGCAGCCCTGGAATGTAAGAGGACAGGCTTTATAACCTCATTCTGTGCCCATCAAGATGAACTATTTATATACAGAATGGCTGAGTAATCAGTCCAAGATGACTTAAGTGGCCAAGAGAAAAGTAGATCCCCAAATTCAACTGACTCCCAAATCTCATTTCTACCGTTTATGATCCTTTTAGACAGGGCCTCTGCCAACCCATATGGTGTGAATTAAGGAAGGTGCTCCTTCCTACAAGAGGATGTGGCCTCACACCAGAATGTGTGGTTTGTTGAGTGACAGGCTAACTGTCAGCCCTAGCTCATCCCCACCTTTGTGCAGTGAACAACCTGCACAGATCTACATGGCGATTCTGATTTTAGAGTCCCTTTCTCTTTCTTCCAAGCTTAAAGACAGGAAACCTGGATGGAGACTCAGATTTTGTGTCTTTTTGAAGAGTCAAAGAAACAAGAAGTTGTTCTTAACTTGGCAACTGAGACAGAATGAACAATACCTGTTTTGCTCATGGTAGAGACACAGTCCCCATCTTTATACTGAAAACTGCCTTCCCTTGTACAGAGGGAATAACCAAGAGAGGGTGGGATCCTGGCCATTCCCAGTCACAAAAACTGACCATCCCATCCCAGTTCTGCCGAAAGAGTTGCGTTTTGTTTTCCCTCTCCCCTGTCCTTTGATCTCTCCCCCACCCCTTCCTGCTGGTGCCCGCGGTGCGGTGCGCATCCAGCCTTGGCTGTCAGAGAGAGAGCTCACTCTTTTGTCCTTGTATCTGATTATGTCTGAGTCACCAAAGAGGCTTTTACCTCCCCCTGCGTCGCCAGCGGCTCACTCTTCTGACTACAGAGCTGCCAGGAGTGCGCTCTCCCCTGTGGTCAGCGAAAGAGGCAGCAGCTGGGCTCTTGGGCATCCCTGCCCCAGTGCATTGTCACTGCGATGGGACCTCGGGCAGGGAGGGAGAAGGCTGGGATGAGATGGGCTGGGAGCATTGATGAAGCATCTGCTTAGAGGACGTTTCCCCAGAACGGTGCACTCAGTTGGAGGTGAGAATAATGCAAGTGCTGGGTAAACAGTCTCCCTCTTGCTTGGTGCTAAATGAGAGGTGGGCCACATAGTTGCTACAGGTCACGAGTCACCCCAGTCCATCTGGTTATTTTTAGGAGTGCCTTGATGGTTTCCATTTCTTATCTCACTAGTTTCTTAGCAACCAATGGCACTCTCAGGAAAGTCATCTTTCACTTGTTTGGGGTCCCAAATCCTTCCTGTTCTCCTTCTGGGGTGAGGGTGCAAAGAAGGAGGGGATGAGAAATTGCATGCCCTGGTCTGGAGATCACGTATAGAGACCTTCTTCCTTTGGTGATCAGTTCCACCCTCCCTTCTCCAGGAGGCTGACCTGCTGAGGGCCCTGGCAGCCTTGAGGTCTGAAGAGTGATGGTAGAACCCCCTTTTCTCGTGGCCAAGGCTTTTTCATTCCTGATTTTGTGGTCTGGCTGCTGTGCACACACAGAAAGTCCATACTTAGGGCCTCGCGGGTGTAGAGTGTGCCCTACATGCATTTGGAGAGGGCCTTCTGTCCGCGCCACTGAGAAACGGGGTTTACTCTGGCTGGCCCTCTTTCTAGGGGATTGGGACATATATGGATTCCAGAGGCCCTACTAACTCTGCTGGTCGGGTAGCCCAAGTCATCCTGTCCCACCTGAGCTGTCACATCTCCTGGAAGTACTTCATCTACCTATCCCTGCACCATCCCCCCTCCCAGCCTCCCACCTGTCCTCCCATCCCATCTCCCTCCCATCCTTCCTTCCACTTGTCCTCTCACGCATCCTTCACCTCATTCCTGCCTGCTTGCAGCACCAGTGGTTGGCGGCCCCACTGTAGACTCCCAGTCTTTGCCACCTTCATCCAAACATGAGTTTTGCTTACGGCCACATCTAGAGAAAGGGAGAAGAATCTCTTGGTTCCCCAGTAGCAACCACCCGCTCCACTCATCTTAGGGAGCAGAAGTCAACAGTGTTGTCACCAAACTGGTGTGTCACAGTCAGCAGTCATTCCTATCTCATTACCAATAGCAGTAGCATTTTCATGTTGCAGGGATTGCCTCTCATATTAAATTGAAATTAACTGCAATAATAAACCCCAGCCTCCCTTGCTTGCAGGCACAGGTTTTCTACATAGGAATGAGTGAGATGGAACCACAGTTGACCCCTGGGAATTGGACCAAAGGGCGCCACACATTGGGATGCCATCTGTCACCTGTGTCACTTGTGGAAAAGGCTAAGAATTTTAACTATTTAAATATGCCTCCTAAAGAAGCCATCACTCAAAATATAAAACTGTGACANGGACCAAAGGGCGCCACACATTGGGATGCCATCTGTCACCTGTGTCACTTGTGGAAAAGGCTAAGAATTTTAACTATTTAAATATGCCTCCTAAAGAAGCCATCACTCAAAATATAAAACTGTGACAATTCACCCTGGGAGCCATACTGGAGGTGGAGTATGGACTTTCATTAACGTATTCATTCATCCATGGGTCAAACATTTTATGGTGTCCATCATGGATGCACTGAACACTCAGGATGGATTAGACTTGATCCTTCCCTTATGGTCTTCATGGTCGAGGAAGATACAGATAGGCAGGCACCATGAGCTCTACTCGTGGGGGCTCAGGAAGCAAGGAGTTGGGGGAGGTCAGCGAATGAACACAGAGGAAAAGACTTTTGTGCAGTACCTTAAAGGCAAGCATCTCTACATCAGAGCCTCAGATGTGTCTTCTGTGTCTACATCTTCATCCTTGAGGTGTTGAAAGGGTGAGGATACATTGGGCTCCACAAAACATTCAGGGCATTGGAGACCCTCTTCTTAATTACTGGGGCCATCCTAGAGACAGAGATGGATGCCACCATCACACTGGGCGCATCTCATAGAAGCCCGTGAATGTAAAACGCTGCAGACTGGTCCACAGCCGTGAATCTAGCTGTTGGTGGTTGGCGGCTGGATTTGTAGCAGCTCCAGGGGGCCAGTGTCAGAACCACGTTAAAACCATGATGGCGCTGGCATCCCACCTGGTATGACCAGGCACAGCACAGAAAGCTGGGTAAGGCCGGTGGTGGGCCCCCTCAGCAGGCCCGGCCCTGACCAGCTCAAGGGTGGGTCCCAGGAGACTCTCGGAGCACCAGTCGCTTCTAGAGAAAGACTCACCTGTAGGAGGACATCCCATGAGAGCAAGTTCAAGAAGAGGAATCCAGATTGACCTTTCCTCTCCTCACCACGCAGCCAGCAGATAAGAACACTTGTGTGAAGTTCACGAATGGGGCATAATTGCATTCTTGACAATCAATAAGGCTGCCCCGTGGCAGAGCCAGCACAAAGCCCCTGCATGGCAGGTGCTCAGGAGAGAGTTTTGCCCACAGCACAGAGATGCCAGAGCTGGGCCATCGGCAGGCTCAAGGGGTGCGGGTGGGTAGAGCCCTGGAGAGAATCGGAGAGAGGTCAAAGCAAGGGCCGCAGAGACCTGCAGCCGGGGACCGGCCCACTTAGCTCCAGGCTGGGCTGGGGACCAGGACGAGCTGAATGCCAGCCGGACCCGACGCCCCACACTCCTCTAGGACATCGAGCATTCCAAAGCCACTCAGCTCAGCCATGTAGGACTTGCTGAAGATGAGGACGTGTGGTCCATCGCCGGGTGGGCTTGCGTGTGGCGCAGACGGGCAGGGCCCCTTGACTTCGGTGAGGAGTCAGAGCCCTGCCCTCCCCCACTTTACTCTCGACTCCACCCACACTCTCTCCCTCTCTTTCTCTCACACAGATTCCTTTTCTAAATATTCTCTTTGGAGAAACCGACTGGGCTTTTAGTGTGCTACGAGGCAGGCCATTCAGAAAGGACAGGGTGCTGGGTGTCCGCTGTTTCCATGGGAGACGATGTGGTCCCTGACCTGGGCTCTCAGGCCACCCAGGAACCACACAGGTTGCAATAGGAGCCCCAATGCTATCTGCAGAAAGCCTGATAGAGCCATCCTCCTACCTATAAGGTTTCACAAGCAGGTAACAGAAACGGCAGGAGCCTTTGCTTCTGATGACAGTCCCGTTCCACCAGGGGGATGCTGGGGTTTTCCTTGCGGTCAGCTCTGACTGTGGTGACAGACTGGAACTGCCTAGAGGACACTCTGGACCCAGCTGTGTCGTCAGAGCCACATCTGGCTGCTGGCCAGGACGCAGAAATGAGGGAGTCGTCCTTTCCTGTTCCCCCCATGCGACCTTTGGACGTGACCTCTTACAGGACAAATGTATTTTGCTTGGTTGGCGTGCAATTGCGAGGGAGCGATGGCACAAATATCATTGAGCGTGACGGGGCTGGAGCCACCGCTGATGCTCCAGGTCTCTGCTATAAAATGGAACATTGCATTTACTGTCTTCCAAAATGGTGGCAATGAATCCAGTCTCTCACTGGAGTGCTTGTACCTGGGGTGTCGTTCCCCGGAACTCCAAGGAACCTGAAGATGTTTCGGGGTGGGTTGCAGGCCTGGAAGAGAGCGGGCTCTTCTGGATGGAGCAGAGGACCCAGAGTGACACGGGACAGGGAGCCGAGCAAGGGGCCCAAGGGCTCTGGAGATGGGGAGTGGGGGGCACGGGGAGAGAGGACCCCGCACCGAAAGGCTGTGAGGAAAGGAAGTCCACATGAACCAGGGGTGCAACAGCCTGAGTAGGCTCAGGCAGCCCCGGCCTACTCTTGCTGGCCTGGGGATGCTCTGCACAGATTAACTAGAACTGTCATTCAGGCAGGGTCTTGAACGTGATGCTGGCGTGGCACACAGGTGCCACCTCTGCCAACCTGTCACCCAGCTCCAGTGGGCCCCAATGGGCAGAGGTGGAGGCGGGGAACAGAGCGCAGGACAGACGGATTCACAGTCAACGCAGTGAGGGATGCGGAGGGAGGGACACAGGACTGTGGTCCAGGGTGAGACTGAACCAGTGCCTCCAAGAATGTGCCCTCTGCTCACCTGATCAAGCCTTGAGTTCTGGGAACCCAGGGCTCATCACTGGGCTCACTCTCTGAGTGAGTGACTCGACTGAAACATTGTGCCCCAGTTGCCTCACTTGCCTCACCCTGGTCCCCACCCTGGTAACTGTCCCTGCCACCCTACTCTGTTCTGAGCTCTCAGGCTCGCTGTCCCCAGCGTTGAAGCCGTGGGCATGCAATGTGGGCCGAGCTGGGACACCGTGAGGACCCCTGGGAGCGCTGCCCCGAGGTCCTGACCCTACCCCACCGCTGCCGGTGCATCTCTTCCACGTGGCCCAGTGCCGGAAGCACCCAGGAGAGGGTGGCTGTCTTTGGGACACTGGGAGCCTTTGGTTCCTCATTAGGAAGTGACCCAGCTCCCCTCTTGTGGGAGATTTGGGGGTTGCTGCATAAAATGTCAAACTGCAGAAATTAAAAATGTAAATGTTGGCATCTAATTAACCAGTTGACAGGAGTGCACAGCTGCTAGTGACAGTGACTGATTGCCTTCTCCTAGCCTCTCCCCCCGAAGCACCCCCAGCCCCACTCTTCTCCCCGCTAGTGCTCACAGACAGGGACAACGTCAGGGCAGAGCAACTGCTGAGAAGAGCCTTCAGGCCCCTGGAGGGGACTTCCTGCTTCTGTGGGAGGGGGTGTTAGAAGGACCTGCGAGGCAGACTGGATCACTCCTGCAGGAGTGGGGAGCAAAGCCAGGGCAGGAGACAGCCCCTCCTTCCTCCGGGCCCCACCCTGTCCACTGTCTGACCATGTCTTGGGTCACCCCTGAATCCCTTCTCTCTGCCTCCTGCATCCAGAGCTGCAGAGGGCACTCAGAAGCCCAGCTGGGGGAGAGCCCACCATGATGCCTAAGAAGTCACACACAAGCATCCACTGGGCCCAGACCCAGTGCTGAAAGCACCCATCTCTCCCCTGCGCCCCCCACTACACACACACACACACACACACACACAGTTGCTCACTCCCATGCCGCCACAGGTATTACTCAGACATTGGGAAGATGCCCNATCTCTCCATTGCGCCCCCCACTACACACACACACACACACACACACACAGTTGCTCACTCCCATGCCGCCACAGGTATTACTCAGACATTGGGAAGATGCCCGCCATCAGCGACCAGGACATGAATGCGTACCTGGCTGAGCAGTCCCGGATGCACATGAATGAGTTCAACACCATGAGCGCCCTCTCCGAGATCTTCTCCTACGTGGGCAAGTACAGCGAGGAGGTGAGTCCCGCCCTGCTCTGCTCGGGGGCCCCTGAGGAAGGACTGGGGAGAGACCCAGATATTCCTGCCTGGAGCAGCTTCTATGCCCAAGAGCACCACCCCAGGCATCCCCACCACCCACTTCTGCTGGGGGAAACTCCCACCCAGGACTGGGGGGCTGTGCTCCAAAGACTGGGACGCTAGAAATGTTCCATTCTGTAAATTCTATATAATCCCTATTCTGTTCAGATATACACATCAAGTCTCTGCTTCGTTCATTACTTTTCTCTTTACTTTTTTCTTCCTTCTTCTTTCTTTCTTCTATATCTCTCTCTGACTTCATTCTCTTTAATCAAGCAGTTCCTCACATTCATGGGCAGGTCATAAAGAATAGAATAGAATAGAAACAGTATGATAGGACAGAATCAGAACAGAATGGATACGGACAGAGTAGAATGGAGTCTATTTTTAGTTGCTGTGTTCCCTAGTTAAGAAACCTCACCTGGGGTCATTGCCCCTTCAGACAACGGCCATCTTTTGGCCGGCACAAAGGTGCCTGCGGGAGTTTTCTTGGCCACACCAGTGTAGACCCAATGGGTTCAGAGTCCAGGCTCCCCATGTCTGAACAGCAGCACGGCCACCCTCTCTGAGTGGAAGGCTGTAACAGGAGCCAAGGCCAGTACCCTGGGTTCTCCATGTTGTTCCAGCCTCGTCCCCAAGGGAGGATCTAGGAGCCCCAGCAGGGCCCAGTCCCAGTGTCCACAGGCCGTGAGCTGTTAACAAGTGTAGAGAAAGTTGGCAGTAGGTCCTTTAGGAGAGGGACCCTGAAGCCAGCCTGTGGGCCAGTGGTGGTCCAGGACAATTCCCACCTGTCTGTGGCCACTTGTGAAGTAAGGACAATGCAGAGTAGGCCAGTGTATGAATGCCATTGTCTCATCTTGAAAAGGACTGTCAGAGCAGGTTCAGTCCTCTTTTATCTTCTTATGCATGCTCAGTCATGTCCAACACTTGCTACCCCCACAGATTCTATCCTGCCAGGCTCCTTTTGTCCATGGGATTCTCCAGGCAAGGATTCTGGAGTGGGTTGTTGTGCCCTCCTCCAGGGGATCTTCCCAACCCAGGGATTGAACTTGAGTCCCCTGCACAGCAGGCAGATTCTTTACCACTGAGCCACCAGCTTCCCAAGTTCACTCTTCTGCTGTCAATATGAAAATGTCCCATCTTCATGAAATGTTAGGGCCAATCACTGGTGGTTCTTGGCCTCAACTGAGAAGTCGGCAACTGACTTGGTCTCCCCAATTAAAAATAGATTAAGTAGGTCAGGAAATCCAGAGCTCTGGGCAGCCCTCCTTCAGCCTTCAACCTCCTCTTTCCTCCTGCCACCCCCCTGCCACCCTACTCCCTCGTTCCTCAGACCTCAGGACTCCTGTCTGTCACCTGCCCCTCCTGGAGTAGGCATGGTGTGACAGGTGCTCACGCTTGTTACATGACTTTATCTCCTCTCTTGGAGCAACCCAGAGAGGGAGTCGTAGGTCCCAGATTTTACAGAAGAGGAAAGGAGGGTTCAGAGAGGTTTCATGTTTTGCTCCGGCATCACCCAGCAAGAAACTGATGGAGCCATTATTCAGTGCTACACCTCCTGAGTCTGAGCCAGATTCCCACACATCTTCCTGCTTATGCACACAATTCCTCCCTGTTATTCTCATCCACCAACCATCTAATCTCAGCAAAGGCTGTGTAGATGCTGGCTGGTAGATGTCTGTCACCAGTAAAGCTTGAGATATCACTCTTCGAGGGATATTTGTTTCTTAACAGGCAAAGTGGAGTCAAATACCTTTCTGCATGTGGAATTTCAGGCCTTGAGCTGCTGATGGCAAGATGTTCCCTTCTCACAGGGTAGTGGGATGTCTTGATAGTGTGAAATCATAGTTGCCCTGAGACACTAAGCCCTGTACTTTCCGTTGGGTGTGGACCCACCTGCTGTTTAACCTAGAGGTAACGGCAGCATCTCGGCACAGGTGTCTTCTGCCCACTCTCAGCTGCCGCAAGTAGGGAGTGAAATGTGCACGTGTATTCAGACATGCCGACGTGTGTGCTGGCGTCCTGTGCTCACTGACACACGGATGCCCATGAGTTGGTTCCCTGTGCCCGAGCGCCCCCCACAACTCCCCACCCAAGTCGTGCAGGCCGTCTGCCTCCCCAGCAACTTTGTGAGGGCTGCTTTACCTGCGCCTGTCTTCCCAAACTCTCTGACCACAACCCCTGTCAGTGCATACCCTAAGAACACAGACGCATGCACACAAACTGGTAACCACCCTGTTCTTGGCTCTTCAACAGATCCTCGGACCCCTGGACCATGATGACCAGTGTGGGAAGCAGAAACTGGCCTACAAACTAGAACAAGTCATAACCCTCATGAGCTTAGACAGCTGAGAACCGTCCTTCCAGCTCGCCCGCTCCCCCCTCCCCCACTGGAGGGAGGGACACACCAAGCCGTGCCTCAGTCTAGATTATCATCTTTACCAAGTGCAAGTTCCGACTGGCGTCAGCAGCATCCCCTCAGCAGCGCTGTCTCCCTCTCCCTTTCTCTCTCTGCCTGTCTCTGTCTCTCCCGCCTCCCTGGATTCCCTCTCTTTCAGTTCCTCTGCCAACACGGTTGAACCAAGCCGCCGACCCTCAAGTTAGTCCAGGATGGCCGGTCCCCACCGCGCCGAGGGGCCTGACCTGAAGACATCAGAGGGGCCCTCTTTCCCAGCTGACCCCGAGCATTAGCAGCAGGGCCCGGATACAAATGAGGAGCCATGGACGGAGGTGCTTCTGTGCTGTTACCCTGCCTTCCGTCTTTCCGTAGTCCCCACATGGGTCTGACCTTGGCCTGGGGAAGAGGCAGGGAGCTCAGTATTATCTTCACGGGGAAGATGTCACCTGGCCCAGGTTTCTGTCTTCGCGGGGTCCCCCTGCAACTCTGGGAAGAAAGGCTGCTCCTCCTGCCTGTGGCTGGAGTGGGGACCATGAGCAGTTGAGGGGCGCCTTGCAAGCTGCCTCTCACATGTGCGATTGGCAGGAGAGGCTCCCTTGTCCCCTTCTGATCTTTTCGGAGTTCTTCAAAGCACCCACAGGTGCCCGGCCTGCCCAGTCCTGGCCTGTGGAAAACCTTTCAGGAGAAAGAATAGCAGTTACAGCCCACTGTGGAGATCCTCCCGATGTGGCTCATAGTGGCAGAAATGTAACATGCAGGAGGAGAAAAGAAGAGAGTTGCATCCACCTGGAAGCAGAACTGGTTGTTTTCCATTCACCCCACGTGCTAACGAATCACCGCATAGTCAGAGGTCTAATCCCTTGTAGATCCCCGAGCACCATCTAGAGGATGCACTTCCATCCTCCTTAGTCATCCCTCATCAGGGGTCAGGGTCAAACACCAGTGCATCCAGGAGCTTCTACCTCCAGCGGTCCCCGTGGCTCCATCCCCACCATCCTTCCTGAGAACTCTAGAGAAGATTGGGGCGGACAGCCTCGCTCCTGACTCCCTGCAGAGTCTGGTGCCGTTGCTATGCAGATGACTGTGTGACTGGACTGTTCAGACCTCCTCGGGAATTATTTCATCAACATCTCAGCTGTCACTTTAGTCACTTTCCTCCCTCCTCCCTTCTGCAGTCATCCCGGGAAGAAACACTTGCAAGCACAGTCTCTCAGAGACAAACCAAAATGCCAGCCAGACTCAGCTCCAGGTTTGTCATGTGTGGGGAGGACCGAAAAATCAAAAGGAAGGACCTGTCCAGAAATGGGAGGAGGGACATACCACTGACCTTGGCCCTGGCATCGTGTCTCTCCCTCTGTCCTTCCATTCACGAATACATCGTCAGCCAGCCAGGCAGATACGTGCTCAGACATGCGTCCTAGGTGAGCAGGGGCTATGGTGAGAGAGTCTGATGGAGGGCCGTGGAAACCTATAACCTTGAAAGGACCTTAGACACCATCTCCATCTATGGTCCAGTCTCCGCCATAGACTCTCTCCAGGCAGCCCCTGTGTGAAGTTGTTCACCACTCTGGGGGACAAACAGAGGCATCCATGGGGTTGGGAATGAGGTTTCTACAGTCTTGCCTTCACTCCTCAAGCATCAGACATCTTCCACTGCCATCCACTCCAAAGGGGCCCCTCTTTGAGGAAGGGACCAGCCCATTTCCGGCAACATCTTTGGAACACCCTATATTTGAAGAATGCTAGCCCCTTTGGATATGAGCGTGTGTGTGTGTGTGTGTGTGTGTGTGAGATCTCATGTGCACATGCACCTCTGTGTTTGTGTGTGTGTGTATCTGTCTGCCCCGTGAGTAGGTAGAGAGCTCAGAAAGCTTTCTGGTCCTACTGCGGGGTGGGGTGGCGGGGGTGTCTGAAGCATTTCCCTTCTCTGCCCTTGTCCACCATTCATTCTGCAACTTCAGGACATTTCAATACTTGTTTTCTGTGCTGCGTGCTGGGGGATGAAGTCACCTGTCTATAGGAAATCAGGGTGGTCACTGACCAAGAGAAGCCTGGACGTAACTGGAGGCCAGGCGGTGGTGACAGAGAGCAGGGCATGATGTGGCGTCGAGCAGGACAAGTGATGGGCAACACGCAAGTAGCCTAATCAACGGAAAGAGGAGAGTGAGAAGCGATGTGTTTCAAGTGGGAAAAACATAACCAAAGGTCTCAGCAAATGAAGTGCCAGGTGTAAGAAGAATGGAATTTCTCCCCTTGATCATTTGATTTCCTCCCCGGAAGCCACGAGGCCTGGCAGGCCAGGAAGGAAGCATGCGGGAGGTAGGCTGAGGAGGCACCTGGGCCACTAACATATATTTGCACATGTGAAGGGTTGGGGAGAAGAAAGACACAAACATATTTAACACAGGTGTGCTGAATGGAAGCTGTGAGTGTGTGTGCATGAGTGAGTGTGTTTTGATTTACTTTTTAAGTTTTGCACAGTTAGAGAAAAAAAATGAACAAGCAGAGAAAAAGACTGTTACCATGGTTCTGCTGAAGCTTTTATTTTTTTTTTTTACTGGATTATTATTATTGTTATTGTTTTGTTGTCGGTACATGACTTTTTCTCCCCATGTTTTTATTATAAGGGAAACCTGAAACCCATCAGAGAAATGTCGGGAAGAAAGAGGGGAGGAGGATGGGCAGGTTTCCCTGGTTTCCTCCTGTCTCCTGGGGGAGGGTTTGGGGCAGGTTTTCTTTAATTGGTGGGGTGGTTGTTTCTGGTGCTTTGCTTGCCCGAAGTCTCTGTGGCCTGTTGGGGATGGAGAAGTAGGATAGAGTCATGCAGAGCCGCAACCCATCTTGCCCATAAGAGCTCTCTTTCCGTTCGCTGTTTGTTTTCCATTTCTTTTGTTTGGATTCTTGGTACACGTGTGATACGTTTCAAAGTAAAAACAAGGCAGCGTGATTAAAAAAAAAAAAAAAAGCTGCTCTTTCCCCCAGATCTTCTTTCCAAACACCCCCTGGAACCCCCAACCTCCTCCTGGCTGGCCGGAGACACCGTGCTATCCAGCATGCATGAGAGAAGGGACTTGGGCCGATTAGGTCCTGTAGAAGGGAGGTCTCTTCAAGGCCCCTGCTCTGTGTCACAGTTTATGTGCAGGGTCACAGTTCTGTTCACGGTGGGACCTTTATCTGACTCCTAGAGTCCTGGGAAGAGAACACAGGAAGAAAGGCCATGTCTCCTCACCCTCCCTTCATCCCATCTCTTTCACTCCTTCAACCCCTTGAAACCACCAGGGTCCAAAATGGTACCAGGAGATCACACAGTCAGACATAACCGACCTGGACTAGGTGAGGAGTTTGAATATTGTAGCGAGATGGGATGGTGAGAAGCAGGGAGGAAACGCTGTGAGGTCCTGAATTTAAGAATGAGTAGAGAGAGGCTGGGACAATTAGCTGCAGACTGGTCATCTCTCCCGAGGGCACAAGTCTCCCCAGGTGTGGGCATATTTACTATTCCTTGTCCTTTCCTAGAAGGAGAGACCCTGACATGTCCTGGTAACCACAAATAGCAACACTGCCTGGAGCTGGCTTTTGTAGCTATTAACTTCCTCTTGCCTTCTTTCAGCATAGTTTGGAATTCAGGGACTTGGGAAAACCTGGGCATCCCATTGACTGAGAATACCATGCACACCCAGAGCCAGCCTAGAGCCTCTCTCTCTTGAGCCCATGGGCGAGTGAGTGAAGCCAGAGATGCTGGAAAGAGACAAGTCAGTTTAAACGTTAGAGGCAGACTGGCCAGGACTGGCCCCTGGCAGCAGTGGGAGTAAGGTCTCTGGCTCTCACCTCCCAGCCCTGGGGTCAGCGTTGATGTGCTATCCCAACATTGCTGCCTCCCCTTTCCCTCATCACAGGTCCTCGACCTCTGATCCCCTTTGCATGTCTGGCTCCTCAGTGTGCCCCTTCCCCAGCAGAGTGTCCCCAATCCCCGTTCTTGCCCACCTCCCACACGTGAGACTCTGCCCCAAGGCCATGTATCCACTAAGTTTGGGAGCTGTTCAGCCCCAGGTGGATGGCTCCGCCCTCAGTTCAGCCTCCTGGGACCACCCCAGCCCTTTCCTGCCCTCCAAAGTTGCCCCCACTGAGCCCTTGCAGCTCCCTAACACAGCCGGGGCCTGGTGGGTCTCCCATCAGAGGAGCCACAGAAGTGGTTTCCCCAGTGACCTCCGTTCCACAAGGCAAGTCCTACTGACACTTTCAGAGCCTCAACAAGGCCTCATTCCCACCCTACAAATGGGAAAGCTCCGTATGCCATCCATCTCTGCTCTCAGGATTAAGGGACACTTCTCCTTGACCTCACAGAATGCCAAGTCAAATATTTAGCCTAGTGAAGGTTAAAGTTAATTGTAGTTCATCAAGCATAGACATTCCCACCTCACAGAGACCCGTGGAGGGAGAGGGGCCTTGGGGAGGCACTCTGCAGACAGAAAGCCCATAGACACTCTTTTCTTGACCCTGGACTACAGTCCTTCCAGGAACAGCACCCCCACCCCCAATGAGGACCCTAGGGCGGACCTCTGAGAGGCACGTCCGTGGATAAACCGCCTCCAGGTACTGGAGGCCCCAGGGTGCTGCCAGCACCCAGCAGACCCACCCGGGCAGATCCCACCTGCTTCCTGGCCCTTCCGCTTGCGTCTAGCTCGTGTAGTCACCAAGAACCTTCTTTCAGCCTCCCACTCTCCCTGTTGGTTCTCAGGACAGACCACTAAGGACCCCTGATTCTCAGCCCTTCCCTTTGTCTCTGAACCATTGGTGGGTTGTCTGGGGATTCGTAGTTATTTTTTGTTTGTGTCTTTTAAAAGTTTGAGTTTAAGGAGGAAGCCCAGGTGCGGATGTAAAATCCAAATACTGGGGTTGGTGGGGGGCACACAGAACTCTTTACCTGTGACTTCCAAGGGGCTGAGGAGAAACTGGGAGCAGGGGACAGAAGAAATCCCGCTTGTTAAAGAAATGGGTCAGGATATCCCTGGGCCGGGGCCCTGCCAGGGGAAGTAGCCAGGGGCTGTTGACATTCTTGGTGCTTTCCCGCACCTTCGCTGGCTGGAGCCTGCAGTGCTACCCTGCTCCGCCCACCTGTGCTGCCTCACCCCACAGGTGAAGCAAACGAATCATCCTACAGACAGGGAGACCAAGGGACAGCAGTAGGTGACGCCGTAGAGGCAGCTCCCGGGAACAGCTGACGCTCCGGGAGCCTCTTCCCGTCAGGGTGCTGGAAAACTGAATGACCCAGCCTCCCATTCGGAGAGGAATCTCTGCAGTAAAACTTCATTCAGGAGAGACCTTTTCTTAAACTATGAATTTGTGTTCCCCAATAAAATCATTTTTTAATTAAGGGGAGTATCCAATTTTATTGTATAACATAAAGGATGTTTTGGTTGTCAAAGTAATACATACTCATTAGAGATCCAATTAAATCCCTTGAGTAGGCAGGTGACTACCCTAAATCAAAACAAAACAGAATCCCTAATGAATAAAAAGAGATTTCTGTTTGTACTGGCAGAGACAGTGAACTGGGTGGGGATGGGGACGGTGGGTGACCTTGGTAGGGTGAGCCTCACCTTCCCGCCACTCTGTATCCTCTTTCACTTCTCCCCAGGCTTCCCCTGGTGGTGTTGAACCCCATGGCTTCCCCCAAACAGCAGGGAGAACCTGTTATGGATTGGTTGTGGAGGAATCATGAAGACAGATGCACGTGGCAAAGGGGTCTGTGCATCTCATCTTCCACCAGTTTCTTTGTCTGGAATTAGAACTTCTTTTGTTGGTATCTTTGATCTTGGTGGTGTTGAACCCCATGGCTTCCCCCAAACAGCAGGGAGAACCTGTTAGGGATTGGTTGTGGAGGGATCGTGAAGACAGATGCACGTGGCAAAGGGGTCTGTGCATCTCATCTTCCACCAGTTTCTTTGTCTGGAATTAGAACTTCTTTTGTTGGTATCTTTGATCTTATAACTCAAGCACATTTTGGAAGGGCTCCCTTATAAGAGAATTCCAAACAGAGGATACGGTTAAAGAGCGATGCAAAGGACACTTAAGAAACTGAGACACCACTTTACCAAGCAGGGCTGTTGAACACAGTTCAGGCAGATGACCAAGAAGGTATGCATGTCCTTATGTGTTCTCCTTCCCTCTCCCTTCCCCAGTGTTCCCGTCAGCTTGTTGGCTTGTTAAACCTTCCGTTCTTTAAAGAGAAAAGCTAGCTTACCTCAAAGAATCTTGTTTCCATTTGGAAACCATGACTTTGTGTTTTAGGGTGAATGACTCTCCGCACCCCCATCACTCTCTCAAGGCCTGGCATCCTTGAGGCTGGAGGTCTTGGCTTAGTCATGTGTTGGCTGCACCGACCAAGAACAAGAACCCCAGGCCCCGAGATGGGAAGGAAGGGTGGGAGGCAACCGCCCTCCTCCCCACTTTAGCTAGTAGAGACCAGCCTGTGTCTTTCAGCAGGGTCCTGCCAAGTTACCATAGCAACCAGCAACTCCAGGGTACCACAACAGATAATGGCTCAATGAGCCAAGGGGTGGGGTAGAGGAGTCTGGCCTGGTCAGATCACCCAGAGTTAAGTCTCAAATACTAGAGAGAGGAGGAGGGGCAGGAAAAGATGAATGGGTGATTTAAGGGACAGGCAGGGGCCTTTGAGTCTCGGAGACAGGTGGCTGAAAGTGGTAGGTCGGTCAGTCCTGTTTCCATCACCCACTCCCAGCCTCATCCCACTTCTGTCTCCATAAAGCTCCCACCTTGAACACCAACCCTTTGTTAGAACAAAGCAAAACATATCTTTAGACAACAGTGTTATAATGAGCCTCAAAGATATGTGGATGAAATCTATTAGAGGAAAGAGGGTCTTCTGGTTTGGTTTTTAAAGAAGCGTATCCAAGTAAGATTACAGAAAAAAAAAGATTTTAAATAAAAGTTTTTAAAAAGGAAACCTATGCTATTTAAATTGGAGCCCAGTTGTAACTTGGTAAAGGCAAGCTTCTGTACCTTTGTTATAATTAATTGTATACCTGTGTATGTAAATATAAGGCATTCCTATTTTGCAGTTCAGAACAAAAAAAAAACCTATTTGTAATATAGAATAAAGTTTATTAAAAAATAATAAAAAATGCAGTTTGGGATTTGGAATCTTTATGTGTCTGTCTGGAAGGGAGAGGCGGGGCCACAAGTAGCCGCTGGTGGCCACTATACCCTATGGTGTGGACACACAGCCCTTTCTCTTTTCAGCTATGTGATGTCTGAACTCCACCACCTGCAATTCATATGTTTACTTAAGGCTCTGTCCTCAGCCACAGAGCAGGCATCTCAGGCGATGATAACCCTGCCGAGCTGGAGAAAGCAGACGTATTCCCGGTCAATGCCGTCAGCAGACATTGCTTTAGTACAGAGCCCATCAGTCCCTCAATCTCTCTCAACAAGCTCTCCAGGCATACACTCTGGAGAGAACACGTTCTCCACCGAGGTCCTCACTCTAGATGGCAGCTGCCTCGAGGAGACAGTAAACGACAGCCTACTCTGATGTCTAGAAAGGCTGGTCCACACACAGGGGCTGGCTGCTATCAGCAGCACCTATGGATGCCTGATTCTAATAAAGGCCTGACAATCCCTCCAAGACAGGGGTCCCCAACCTCTAGGCTCCAGACTGGTACCCCCTGTCAGATCAGCAGCAGCATTAGATTAGCAATAAACTGGTGCCTCAGACAGTGAAGAATCTGCCTGCAATGCCGGAGACCCGGATTTGATCCCTGGGTTGGGAAGATCCCCTGGAGAAGGGAATGGTGACCCACTCTAGTATTCTTGCCTGGAGAATTCCATGGACAGATGGGCCTGGTGAGCTACAGTCTCAGAAAGTCAGACACAACTGAGCGACTAACACACACACACACAAAGTGCACAGTAAATGCAATGAGCTTGAATCATTCCAAAACCATCCCCCCCCATCCCTGTTCAGTGGAAAAAAGGCCTTCCGTGGAACTGGTCTCTGGTGCCAAAAAGGTTGGGGACTGCTGCTCTAAGACCCAACCAGGGGAGAAACACATGCTTCCAGAAAGGACCCTTCTTACGCTTCTTCCATATTGGAGTTCAGAAGTTCAGACCTGCTGCTTCCACACCTGCCAGATTCCCCAGCTGTCTGGTCCAACCTGGCCAACTCTAGCAACTCAAGGGCAGGCCTGGGGGTACAGGAAACAGAGCTGTCAGTGAGTGGGGGCTGGCGGGTCACTAGAGATGGCTCTCAGCCCACCCACGTCAACTACAAGGACTTAATCATGGCACGCCCTCCCCAAGTGCCTGCCTGCACTGACCCTGATCCCTCAAGGCCCTTCTCATTCCTTCTTCTTCGGTGGTTTGCCTCCAGTTGTATGAATTCTCACGGGCAACACAGGCGGGATACACCTGGGGCTCAGAATTGTGTGAGCACCCCACATCCAGACAGCTGTGACCTCATCCCCCTTTTGTACCTGAACCCATTCTCTACATAGAGTAATAGCAATGACCCCACACACACACACCCATCACTGCCTAGCATGATCAACTGGAGCAAATTCCTATCTCCAAATCTTGGTTTTTCTCATCTGGAAAGATGGGAATAATAATGCCTTCCTCACAGAGTTGTTGAGAGGATCACGTGATGTAAGGCTTTCAAAGGACTTGGAGTGAGTCCCAACATCTTACAAGTTTTTAGCTGATGGGGGCTTCAGTACGGAGTGACGGGCTCCTGAAGGAAAGACCCCACATGTTGACTCTCTGTCTCATGCTTGGGACAGTACCAAGCACGTAGTAGTTGCTCTAAAAATGTCTGTTAAATGAATGAATAAAGTTAGTGCAAGAATCTCTCAGTTGCCCAAATTTTGAAATATAAGACTAAAGCTTTCCAGGACTTCCCTGGTGGTCCAGTGGCTAAGATTCCGTGCTCCCAGTGCAGAGGGCTTGGGTTTGATCCCTGGTTAGGAAACCAGATCCTGCATGTCGCAACTAAGACCTGGCACAGCCAAAAAAGAAGAGAAAGAAAGAATATGGCTTCCCAATAAAATAGAAATGGATAACTGAAAACGATAAGTTCCGCTGGCTCTGTGACCCAACACATTCACAGGTGACTTCTCAGAGGGACTGGTTGCTGCTCAACTTCCTCCAGCACCTCTGCCTTTCCTTCCTGCACAATTAGCACCTTATCCTGGGTGGCTAGAGCCTCTAATTGCCTGTAATACAGCGCTCAGCACTTTAACAGAACCAGCGCTGATGTATATACATGATAATTTTATTCCCTAATAATTTCACCTTGTTTTAAGTCCTGTCTCCTCAACTCAGTAGTAGACCGGGTCTTAACATTTCTTTTATTCTGAACTCAAAGCTGGATACATAGGAATAAGACAAATGCCCACTGTTTTCTCTAAAGCACTGGGCCAGAAGATCAGATACCTGAAGAAGATCATGTAATGAAACCAAACTGATCCTGAAGACAAGGTTTTCAAGATGTCATTAGTCTTTGGTATCCCATCAATTAAAAAGTTTAGGAGCCTTGAGAATATATAGTATCTGGGAGGAGATGGAGAAGCATATACAACTGTAGGGGAAGACTGTAACCTTGGTTTAATGCCCTGTGACAAGAGGATCATCATCTCCCAGGCCAGAAGGAACTGCCTTAGAGGGATCAGCTCATAAAATGAGTTGATATATCACTTACATACATTACTTCATTCATTCTCAGGATCCAGCCTGCTGCAGTAGCTGTCACTGCTATACCCATTTTATGGATGAGTACATTTAAGCTCAAAGCAATAGCAACTCCCATCCCACAAATGGCAAATGATAGGGGTGATGGAGCTGGAATGGGAATCTAGGCTTCTCTGACTCTAAAAGTTATAGTCTTGATTGGGCTCTATTATAACAAACTATAAACAAAGAGCTTCTCTCTTTGCCCAAATTTTGAAATATAAGACTAAAGCTTTCCAGGACTTCCCTGGTGGTCCAGTGGCTAAGATTCCGTGCTCCCAGTGCAGAGGGCTTGGGTTTGATCCCTGGTTAGGAAACCAGATCCTGCATGTCGCAACTAAGACCTGGCACAGCCAAAAAAGAAGAGAAAGAAAGAATATGGCTTCCCAATAAAATAGAAATGGATAACTGAAAACGATAAGTTCCGCTGGCTCTGTGACCCAACACATTCACAGGTGACTTCTCAGAGGGACTGGTTGCTGCTCAACTTCCTCCAGCACCTCTGCCTTTCCTTCCTGCACAATTAGCACCTTATCCTGGGTGGCTAGAGCCTCTAATTGCCTGTAATACAGCGCTCAGCACTTTAACAGAACCAGCGCTGATGTATATACATGATAATTTTATTCC